TTCTCTTGATTAAGTCTTGAAGGTGCACCGAAACCTGTCCGTCTTTTTGTCACTTGGTTTACCCCATGTTTGTTTTGTTAATAATTAGAACTACCCTTACTATAACTACGTTATAGGTTAAATTCATAACACATCGCTGTAGATGTAAAAACTACAACTTGAGTTAACTACTATAAATGACTTTATTTATGTGTATATAGTTGTTTGGTTAGATAAAATCTGTCTCTAAAAATTCTCTTAATCACATATATTCGTATATATTAATACAATACATTTTATATTGATTTGTTTACATAGTTCTGTTTGTTTGGATTGGTGTTGATGATCTCACTGATTGCACACTTACAACACGTATAACCCAAACTTTTTAAATGGACAAACTCAGAACAGATTAGTATTCAATATTTTAGGTCACTATGTTATTTTGTGTGCAAAATGGTAAACCAAAATGTTTGACACATTTATTGTCTACTCTACTAAAGCGTAAAATGGACTTAATATTTCTTAACAATCACATTTCCAATTTGTTTTATTGAATGTTTCCCGAAATATGTATTGCAATTTTTTACACCCCGCAGATTGAATCATTTGATTAAAGCATATTACCACAATCGATTTACTTAACTTTAACAATTTCTCGTTGTCTATTAAGTTATTAAACAATATGACAGAAAAATATTTATTCTTCTGACTCAAACATAAACTGTTTTATTTCATTTTCTCAATTACAAAATACCATCAAATAATTTTTGGACATTGCTTTTAAATGGTTTCTTTAAATAGAATGTACGAACAGTAAATTCTGTTCGATTGTCGTTGAATCTGAGCAAAATGATGTGACATTCCACAATTTGCCGTAATTTGATTAGAATGGTGCTACTAATTGGTCTCCCGATTCAACCCTATTCGAAGGCTTCTTGTACAGTTACATGATTAATATCTTTAAGGATAATGCCTGAAATAGCGACAAGAAACCCATCTCGTCACGCCAAATGTAACAGAAACTGTTAGGTGTCTGGCATATTGTCATATAATAAACAGCTTATTTAAATATAACATTTCAACATTAAATTTATAGGTAACAAATTATTGTTGACATGATCTACATTTAACCTTTGTTGCTTTTTTAATATATTCGTTCTTCTTTTAATGACTGAAGTTAATAAAATATTCAAATACATTCCTGAGTAAATGATGAAGAGAATAATAATAGGTAGCACTTTCTTCCACACAAGCAGTTCTCGAGCGCTTTAGTGGGTTTACTCGAGAATTCGAAAGTTTAGTGAAATTTCTAACTGTCTCTCTGCACTGCTCACATGGCTTCTCGAAGGTTTCTGACTGTCTCTGGTTGTCGTTCGCAATGCCAGAAGACTGTGGAACAACGGTTCTGCTCTTTATAGACCATTTCGAGTTGAGAATTCGAGAATGTAGCGATTTTTTATCGTTCGTGGCTGCTCATACCTTTTAAAATATAAATATTTATATTTATTATGTAATAAATACCTGAGTAACAATTTTTTATCAAAAAATCAATAAAACGTTACATTTCATTAAATTAAGTACTTAAGTAATTCATTAATTATTTTAATATTTTCAAAAGACTATCCATCAGTTCTAATTTGTTATTAGATCTCTATTCATTGCAGTGTGGGAAATGACATCACAATGGTTAAGGAAATAATGATAGTTCCAGTTCAGATACACCGTATAATTGATGTAGTTGTTGTGATGTAACATAATTAGTAAACAATAGGTAGTAGGATTGATCTAATGCTTGCTCCTACATGATGTTAGCTAACAGGAAACCGTTTCTAATCCGCAATCCTCCGTTACGTACCTATTTTGACAATAAAAATGTCTGTACACATCATCTACTTTATTATAAAGTTTTCATATAGATAATGGAAATGAGGTAAAACGGGTCATAATATTGAGGTGTTTGATAAAGTTTTGCTGTCGATTTTCGAAGTTAGTGATTCTACGATAAATCATTATGCGTATTTTCGTACGTAATGTTTTTAAAACACATAAATATCATGACACTTCGTTCTGAAAGGACTTATTAAAAACATTTTCTAAAAGTATTGTATATTTGCCTGCGGTGTAGCCACGGATCAAAGAAAATGAGAAAATATTGTATACATCTACTTTCATTTTATGGACAAAATTTAATTTTATTAAAATATTTGTATATACCTAAAAATGTAGTTTTAAGTGATTTATAATATACTTACAAAATTCTTTTCCAATATTTAATATGTTCATGGGATTAACAAAGCTTAAATTAGGCGCAAAAAATTAATTAATATTATTTAATTGTAAACCCCAGGATCAATTTTATACAGGGTGACCCATTAACGGTACGGAGCGGCTGTATACAGGGTGTCCCAGAATAACGTGTACAACGGAAGACCATATATTCGTGGACTCAAAATAGGCGGATTTTGGTCGCTAGATGGTGTCAAAGTTCGTGAAAATTTTTTGAATTTTGTAAATAACTTGAATACGTATTATTCGATCTTGATTCTTTTTGGGGTGTGGATTTTTGCTTTCAATCTACACATCTTGGTGTTATACAGAGCGTTTTTTAAAACTTACAATTCCTACAAAATTGATATATGGTTCACAACTTTTTTCTCTTTCGGGCAATAATGACAACAATTTTTTAATTGATAGGTGATAACATTTGGAAGTTTTTGGGCCTCTTATATAATTTTAATTAAATGAGCGGTTTGGGTACAAGAAATATAATTTTGATGTGCTGTTTTTACTCAAAGCTACTATGTGGTTTATGCATGAAAGTGCTTCACCACATTTCACTGTAAATGTCCGGCAGAATCTGAACCAAAGGTTCTCTCGTCGATGGATCGGTAGAAGAGATAATGTTCCCGTTAACTGGCCTGCAAATTTACCAGACTTAACAAATTGCGACTATTATCTTTGAGCACTCTGAAAACAACAGTGCATGTCTCTGTATCTAACACTGAACTGAGTTGTGGAGGCATTTCTAAAATGCCATAAATGTTTTAAAAAATAGCCCTTAAGAACTGCAAAGGGTCTCCTTTAATTTTCTTCGCCGAATTAACCTTTGTTGTAGAAACAACGGTGATCATGTGAACAGTTTTTATAATAAGTTGCTGTAAATTTAATAACTTCAAGTTGTTACATTTATCTCCAGCATTTTTTATCGTATTTGATTGTTTTTACGAACTATTTCAATAAAATAAATTGCAAATAACTCTAATTCGTCGTATGTGTGTGTATCTATATCGAAAAATTAAGTAACATGTGTGGTATATTTTATCGTAGTAAACGCTCATTAAGAATTGACAGGTACAAACACTGAAATTACGGTCAACCTACAAAATCAGTGACTACAAGCACTTCGTTAAGTATTGTAGTATTGGTGGCAAGATAATGTAGACATTCAAAAAATCGTTTTTTGTACTCAAACCGCTCATTTAATCAAAATTGTATAAGTGGCCCAAAAACTTTCAAATCAAATAAAATAATTTTCCGAAAGAGGAAAAAGTTATGAACGGATATTATCACCATACATAAATTTTGTAGGAGTTGTGAGTTTTAAAAAACATCAAAATTTGTGGATTGAAAGCAAAAGTCCACACCCCAAAAATGATCAAAATCGATTAATATTCGAGTTATTTACAAAATTCAAAAAATTTTCACCGAAGTTTGAGGCCATTTAGCGGCCAAACGAAGAGATTTCGGGTATAGGTGAATCTGCCTATTTTGAGCCCACGAATCTATGGTCTTCCGTTGTACACGTTATTCTGGGACAACCTGTATATGAAACTAGACGTGCTACGATTATGGGGTAAAAAATCTATTAACAAATACGGCCAAAAGAAATATTTTCAAGATTGTAACTTCACCAATAGGGGGCGCAATTGTCGTTTTTTCGAATTTTCGGTTATATAACCTAAGTTGGAAATACACTTTTTAGATAAACTGTTAAACCCTTCACAACTTTTCTGTGAACTTTTTTTTTGTTATTACCATAGCAACGCCAGTATGAAGGACGCCATCTTAAAATTTTTAAATTGTCATAACTTCTAAATGCCATAATCGATTTCAAGAAACGACGGCTCATTTTAAAGAACTATTAATAAAATTTATATTTATGATATGGGAATAAAAATATTATTTTCCTGGACAACGGTAGACGACGCTAATCAGGAAAGTTTTGTAATTGTGTCCGTTTATCAAAAAATTAAATGCAACCACATAGGTTTTTTTCCATGGCTTAATAGACCATTTATTACGGAAAATAAATACACAAAGCGGTTGTCGATATTGTTTTTTATTTTCAAGTTATTGCTAAAATGGTGAAGTCGTGCTAGAACATCCTCCTTTATTTATTTCTCGAAATAACATTGACACAGCACAAGCCATAATTAAATTATAAAACTATTCATATACCAAGCTTGTCTTTAAAAAAGTACTTGCATTATTTTGAATTTTTTTTATAACTAGGTACAGTGTTTCCTTTTTTTATGTATTCCAAATATAACGATTATTGTTTCCATAACGAGGGAGGCTAGATACATTATTAAAGTTTTATAAAATTAAACGTCATTTATGTAAATGCCTATATAATTAACTTCTAAAACATTCTTTTCTGGCGGATATTTAGATGTTGAAAAAATATTCGAAGTCAAGTGTATGTATTTATGGACATCAATGGGTGATTATTTTGTAGGTTAACTTACCTTATGCTGAAAACTCTGTTTCGTGATAATTATAATGAATATTTAAATTTAACTATTTATTTATTATTTTACATTATTTTTAAACACGTCTCTGTCACTACATAAGAGGTCTGTTCAGAAAATAAAGTTTTGAAAGATAATGTTCTATTATTTTCTGAACAGACCTCGTACATACTCGACGTAGGACAACAGAAAACCGTCACCCGTGAATTTTAACCCCGCGTCGCCTCGCCCTCGACACCCCTTTGTCTCACAGGCTTTGTTTTGCAGGCGAGGTGCAGACGAGCGCCTACCCCGGCCGCATAATAGTGACGGAGCCGAAAGGAAACACTCAGCCCAGGATAAGCGTCGACAAGTACAATGCTCGGCGCGTCGTCCTCGGCGAAGACGTCACCCTGCCTTGCGTGGCGCAAGGACATCCGGTTCCCGGTTACTACTGGAAGAGAGAACTGCAAGGCCAGAGCGTACCTGTTGCGCTGGGTGAACGACTCACCATCCTCTCAGCCGGCTTACTGAGGATATCCAAGGTATGAAAATTATTCGCTTGCAGAATTATTTAAATGCTTTTGTCTAATGATGGATAAAACTGCAATACGGGGTGGTTTATACCAGGAAGCGAAAAATTAAGGATCTGGTGCAGAAATGCGAAATATCTTTTTTCCTATTGGGCTCCGTTTTTCAGATATCAAGGTTGACAGTTTTCAAAGATAAATTTCAACTTTTACAAAAAGTAACATCAGTTGAAATACTACAAAGAATAAATGTATCTAGGTTTGATGTTAACACTCATTAAATTTTGAAGAATTCTTTCGTATATTTCCTTATTTTATTGGATTAACAGCGAAATTTGTAAAAATCACCACGTAGTAAATAGCCACCAGGTATATAAATTACACAGGTACATAAAAAAAAAAGAAAAGCAGTATGTTTCAAAGACAATATTTATGTATCCTTTGTATTTTGTGGCGCTGATTCCGAATCACCCTCCATTTTTTTTAAATCATGAGAAACCACCATTAAATGCAGAAGGTATGGAAAATTTATATTTTTCAAAACTAGAGGGTGTCCAACATCTTTCATTCCCTCCAGTAGATTAGCATTTTTGACTGTACAAATACTTCTTAAAATTTCATTAATTTTCGGTTGGTTTTTTAGTTTTAATACTGTGTGTATGTGTCTAGGGCAGGGGTCGGCAAACTTTTAAGCCGGAAGAGCCATCTGCAATAAAAATATCAATTTCATGAATTTTAAAGAACCACGAATTTTTATTTCTGTTTTTACATTTTATTTCAAATTTAAATCGGATACGGTCTATACGCGACTTTATTAGGGTGGGTAAAAAAAAATCGACAATTTTTTTTTTACTTTATACTCTGAAAAATAGGTTGCTAGACACCTCTAGAAAATTCTCTCCAAATATGAGCTCTTAATTTTAATAGGAAGGTCATCCGCTTTATAGTTTTCCATTTTTTCCTCAGTATTAGAAAAAAAA